CTGAACCTAAAGGTTACAAAGTTTCTCTATTGACTTAAATGAAAAATTAATTAATACTTAATTCAATGAGGCAACTAGCATCTAATTCTTTTTTAGTAATCCGATTTTTTTTTTAGTTCAAATATCTGCCATTTAAATAGAAATTAGGGGTGTGAGGGACTTTTTTAAACTGGGAGACATACCTGATTTATAAAGATTTTACATAGTCCAGCCACCAGATGGGGAAAGAAATGCGTGCCAAGGCTAGTGGCCCATAAGAGGATTGAGCCATGTTTCTTCTGCATCACATTTGTTTATGACACATATAAAATGGCCTGAGCTCTAAAAGGTGTGGAAGCTTTAAACCTCTACTTCCTTTTAAAGGAAAAGACCCAAAGGCTTTATCTTCTGTGACACTGAACCTACTTTAAAGTTCAAGGAGGTGGAATGCAGTTGCTTGCAATGATCAGGTAACTTCTCACTGAAGATTAATGGTAAGAAAGCAAACTGTGCTTACCGATCGTAATCCATCACTGCAATGGAGAGGCTGACCTGGTCCACATTCTCTGGAGGGATATCAAAGATGATGGCCTCATTATAAATGGGATTGAGTGTGTTCTTCTTTGTGGTCGTTTTCCGCTTTTTCAGTCTTCGACCCTCACACATCAGTGACACTTTAACATATGGATCTGAGCAACAAATAATCAGTTGCATGCATTTGGACTCAAAGTCATTCAAATGTGTAGCATAAAAGCAACATTTTTTTTTAGGAATGTCATATCAATAAAACAATGCAAAGGGAAAATGTGGGCATTCTGAATAAGACATAGTGACTGCCAGACCAAAGACAGCCAGTAGATCTGAACAGGGCCTACCCATTCTCCTGCTACTTCCATTTCACAACGTTAAACACTCAAAACCCAAAGAGTTCCTATTTGTCCCCTTCCTGTCTGACTTCTTATTAAAAAAAGAAGTAGATTCACCTGATGCGCCAGTTATGTCCATTGCTTTGAGATTCCTACATTTGATGACAGTTAATGTCATTCTCCCGGCGGTAGGCAAATAACAAAGGGAAAACATGATCTCACCCAAATCTACGCTCTCCTGAAAAAGAAAATAAATGATTAGCAATCTGACCATACTGCCAACAATTCGGTTCAGATCATGCAGAAACTTAATTTCTTTTTTAACATGAAGAGACTTGTTTTGCAGTCTCAGGTGCTTCTGAGGAGGTCACAACCAATTTTCAGAAATTATTTCTATAAAACACAGAAAGGGTGCCACAGGATAATATTTAAATGACAGGATTTAGAATTACTAAACAGAGAAATTATTAAAAAGTGGAACAAAAACTTTCGGGATTCCTGATATGTTTGTGTTGAATTCACACAAATGAAAAGGTACTGAATGTGGAATGTCAATTTCAACTCTTGAAAAGACTCAGACTCCATTATTTCCAATAGAATGAAATCTGGTGGCATATTTAGATCACACACATTTACATGCCTTTTAGCCACTGAAATTTGTGTAGGACATATATTTCTGCACACATGTATGCATATAAAAAGTTTATCCTACGTGCTTTGAAAAGATGAATGTGCCGGCAAAAGCTGCTAGTTTTACTGCTCTTACTGTGCTTTGAGGGGTTCTGTTCTGGAAGAAAAGCAAAGCAAAGGAGTATCACCCCTGGCTCAACAGCAGTTTTTTGGAAGACAATATATTTGGAAAGATGGATAAGGTCCACGTGGATCTTAATAAGCCTCACAAAGAGACAGTTTCTATGTTGAGACAATGTGCTGTGAATTTATGTAGTATCATGTTGCTACACAATTCAGATGTTGCAACATTTGAGAAACGTAATCTAAGGAAGAGAGTTTCCATCAATTCTTATTATTTCTTTTCTCACAGTTATGTAATTATCATAAAACTACAAAAGTTTACTTGTTGAGTTGTTAGTTATGTTCTAAATTGTTTCTTTTAAATATACCCCTAAGAAAAGAAAATTGCATATTAAAAACAACTTAGGATTTTTAAATATGAACTTAGAAGGAGAATGTAAGGAAGTCGCTTCTATATGGCAGCCACTCAAGCATGCTAATGTGATTGCAAAGGACTTTTTCTGACTATTACTTGAAAGCTTATTTTTAGTATCTCAGCTCCAATATTTTATCTGTTAAACCTATAGCTATGCTGAAAGGACAAATTTGTTTGAAAACTGGTGGATTTATGGTACAGCTGCTCTAGTGTCAGAAGGCAAGCATGATAAATCTTTAAATAATACATAGTAATTGCTGTGTAGATAACAAATGCATTATTTATAGTTACGAGACAGACTGGGACTTACTCCTCACATTTTTAGCTGCTGATTTGAACATTTTTATTTACTTTCTTTAGGCTAATATTCTGTCTAAATTAAAATAAGCACTTCAGATCTTTCTTGAGTAAAAATGGACTTAATCACATGCCTCAGGGAGGTTTTGTTGTTTGTTTGTTTATTTAGGGTTTATTCTTGTCATTCGTTTGGTTTTGGTTTTTTTTCCCCTGCTTTGCAGTCTTTAGATTGAAGAATGCAGTCTTAGAATAGCTTTAAATTCTCTGTTTCACTGTTAATGAAATACTGACTTTTGTGTAGATTGGTCAATTCATATGTTCAGTCATTTTTCTAGGATTCTGTTCTGTGAATTAGTAGATTGATAAGCATGTAAACATGTACTGTGGGCAAATTTCATGCTTGTCAGGATTTCAGGATTTCAGATTACTCAGGATTTCAAAACTATTTAGTTCATTCAGTCCTCATAGGATAAATACAGCTATTTGACATCTCCTTAACTCAAGCCCCCTACATTGCCACACACAACACAGAATTTTGTGCCAGAGTACATTAACAAATTCACTTTTTTATTTCAGAAAATATAAATAAAACTTGAAAAAATGAAGTGTAGTTCTTTTCACTCATTTGTTAAAATGGCAAGTGCTCTCCATTATATTTTGTCGTACCTGAAATCTGTTTTAAGCACAGCTTCTGTTACTGACATTGCTTTCTGAATTCAGAGTCTGATTGTTGTTCCCATATCCATATGTCAAAGAGATCTCACTTTATTGTTTGAAAAGGAAATATAGTTCCCCTACATACAGCGTTTCAAAGCTTAAGGTCTATGTTGAGAAAGGTGATGAAGATGGGCTGGATCACAAAACACAGTGGGCAGCTCATAAAAAGGACTAATTCTTCCTTTTTCATAGAGATGACTTGTATAAGTGAATAGAGAAAAAATAGTTTTTGCAAGATGTGAGTATGAACTTGAGTATTCTATTACTTCTTTCTGAAGAGAAATTGGATAAACAGTCAGAGGTTTGGGTGAGCTCAAACGATAAAGAAGAATACAGGCAGAGCTATTTATCATGACTTACATACTTAAACAGAAGCATTGTTCACAATACTTGCAAACTGCCTATGGTGGTTACTCTACAGTACTTTTTTGAAAAGCAGAGAAAAGCATCAGTGCTTAAAAAAATGGCAAGCATTTGAGGCTTATGCTCAGTCCTTTCTTTCCTTTCTGAACACTATGTACTGAAGTCAGATTGGAAAAGAGGTTGGAAAATCCCCTGCAATCAAATTTAGTGTTTCTGACTGTGCAATGAATAAGCAAGATGCCTTAATGCAAAAAGAAACGTTTGGACAACAAACGTGGGGAATCTTTGCACTTTGCACAGCAGACTGCCCAAAGGGCAGATGTACTGAAGTTTACCAAAGTTCTGTAACCTGTGTATTGACTACTCAGGCTGACATGGCAAAGGATGATTTTAGGATTGGGAAAAGGCTCTCTATCTCTCCATTGTTTATGAAAGCATTTTCTGACAGCTAAGACCTATACCTGGAAAAAAGGTGGCTTGTGCTGCCCAAAAAGGTCTGATTTTCTTATTATAGAACAACAGTCACTTAGGTCTATCCACCATTTCAATAGACAAATTCTGCAGTAGACTAGAATAGATATTATTTCAAATAAACATTCTTGTCTATATCAAAGATATTTGAGTTATTCATTGCGATTTCAATGGGCTAGAAATAAAATTAGTAGTTACCCTGCAGTAATCTGTAGATATTTAACTCTTCTCCTAGTGGAGAGAACTGGCTATCATAGATTGCCATCACAGACTCGGATTTCCCATGGTCCTCAGGTTGAGTTAAAATACGTGTTTGTTCAGAATCCTTCAAAGAACTCTGATATTTTTATCTTTTTAATTTAATTTGGTACTAGTTGTGGCATCTGATGTTTGCTGACAGTTTTGTAGACAGTGTCTTTTTGTTTAGTAATTAGTAGAAAATCTGAGTACTTTTACTTAGTTTCTACTTTTAGTATCTGCTGAGATTGGTCATACTTGAGTGAACTGACTATATTATTAGGACCTCTACAAGTCATAGAGCAACCGGGGATTAAGGTATTAAAATGCGTCATTAAAATAAATATTCTTTGGAAAACAATCACATAGGGTGAAGCCCAAGACTTATGAACTTTCAAAAGTTGTTTGGAAGGATTAAGATTAATATTATGCATATATACATGGTAGCATCAGAAACTGGGACAGGGATACCACCATTTCCCCCCATGCACTTTTTTGTTAACTCAAGCACTGCAGGTTCATTAATTTGGAGCTGAAAACAGGTTCAGACCTAAATAATGAACAAAGTGAGGTCCAGCATTTAAGCTTCTCATGGCAGTCTTTCTTTGTCTACCCCATTGTTTATAATGAGTAGCATTTTTGAATGCCCTGAATACTTAAGTATTAATGATTTTAATTGAGATTTAAAAATAGGATTTAATTACTTCAGAATCCCAGTGCTCTAGAAAATTTACATTTTTCTCACTTTATAATACATTAGATAAATAATTAAGTTCACACAAATCATCTGACAGGAACTGTTGAATACAAGCAAATCTGAGAAAGCCAAGGCACAAGCTGCCCTCAACAATGATGTCTGCGTTACAGTCCACCTCAAACAAAACACAAGTCAGAAGACATAAGCTTGGACCCAGTGGTTGCCATTCATAAAAATTTTTAACTATGCTTCACACTGTCTTACATGTATCATATATTCACCTAGAACTGTACCTTATTTAGGTAAGTCACATGAAAATTTCCCTCTTTTCTAGGCTTATTATGAGTTTTTCTTTTTCTTCATAAATTAAACTTAGATTTCAATTAACAGCTAGCTTTACAGATGCTTGTAATGATTCCCCCCACTGACTTCCAATAACAGATAAACCAGCATCAAGCATAGATTCACTAATGCAAAAGGAAGCATTTGTGGTACTGCATACGTCTCTTTTGTTTATTTCCCTTTTGTGTACACAAGCTGTCATACAGCACTAAGGAACTGGAATGGTGGCAAGTGCTTCAGTTACTTTTATGGCTCCCCTTTTACCTCACTAGCCAATCCATTTTCTGGTACAGCAATGCTAGAACGAAATAAAGCAAAGAGAACACTGATATTAAATGTATATGTCAACTATTTAGATGAACTTAGGTTTTCTTAGTTACAGAATACAGATTCTTCAGATAGATAGCATAATTCTCATCCCACACAAGCAATCACACCTGGATGAATGTGCTAATATTTTTTTCCATTAGGTTACCATGGATCTGTCCACATTGCCTGCTTTACGGGCTGTTGGAAAATAAGTCCAGGTTTTGGCAAAGTCAGATGAAAAAAAGTCCTCATTCTATTATTTTTGTTATCAGACGAAATGAACAGCACTGCTCTCATTTTCACACTTATGCCTCTAGAAGCAGTAGCATTTCTACAGAGGCTGTGCTCCCTCTTCACAATATGTATACATAGGGTAGTGATGTGAGGAGTAGTCTGAAGCCCTTGTAGGATAGCATCAACTAGCTTGACTGAGTTTTAGAACTGTTGCTGCTGGAGAAAGCTTTGCTGTCTGTTACTTTAACTTTCCCATTGGTTTCCATTAAATTCCATAGAAGAGACAACTTTTAGCTAGGAACTTCTGCAAATTCAGTGAGGAAGTTAGAGATCTTTCAGTGGTCAGTGTAGTTTCTTCAGCCATGATCCTGAACTGAACGGGAAAAATTATTTATTGACTATA